AGACCCTACAGACAACAGAATGAAACGCTGCCCAGTCCTTCCTCACCCTCATAATCCTTCTGTGCTTGAGCCTGTTGTTGAAGCCGCTGCGTCAGTCTATCTCATTGAGGATCTTCCTTTTATTCACTGAGTCTTTATTTTGCTAAGTATGATATCCTTCTCCAGGGACCTGTTCCTTCTGGCAATGTGACCAAAGTACGTGAGATGAAGTCTGGCCATTCTTACTTTCAGGAAGCAAAGAATTCAGGCCGAGAAAGGCCAGTCTTCTGAGCACCACTCATCTGCCAGTTTGTTGTACTGCGGTAGCTTGTGTGTTGCTGTGGTTCTGAAAGCTATGTCATTGGTATCTCAGATATTGGAGGGGTCACACATGGTGGACAGGTTTCAGTGGAGCATTGAGACTTGACAGACTGGGAAGAAGGACAAGGCCATCCACTTCTGAAAAAAATTTGCCACTGAAAACCTTATGGATAGCAGTGAAACATTATGAGGGTAGGACCATGGAGATAAAGTGTGTGGAACCTTAATGTGGGGACTGGCCAGTTTTGTCATTCTGGTAGGCTTAAAATGAGCCCTCCCAGAGGCAGAAAGGGTGATCTCATTACCATCTAGAGAAAGCTAGGAGTAAAATGCACTTTGGACCTGAGATCCCTGCGCTGAGGTGACAGTAGAGATACAGCAGCAACAGAGGCAGTAGAACTGAGACATCAGCATGAGACAGAGCGATAGGCTTGCTGGCCCATGGAGTGAGAAAGCTGAGTGCCTTAGGGAGGAGACTTGCTGGTGGAGTGGGGCGCACATATCTGCAGAGCTGAAAGAGCTTTGTAATACTTACCTGAGCAGGGCCGAGGCCAAGACAAGAGGCTGAAAGCCAGATAGAGGTGTGCCTGCGGGCATGGCCAAGGAGAGGCTGTCCTGATGGAACAATAGTATACTGAGTGTTCCTGAACCTGAATTATAACTTGTTACCTAACAAAGCCCGTAATCATGAATATTATCTGTGAGTTCTGCTTTGCCGTTGCATTGAACTATCGAATACAATGGGAGTCACTGTGAGTTGGAATTGACTCATATATGGGTGGGGGGGGGCAGAGAGAGAGAGGGAGAGGGAGAGATTGATTGATTTATCTTAAGGAAACGGTTCACGCAGTTGTAAAGACTGGCAAATCTCAAGTTTGTAGGTTAAATGTTAAGTTGGAGGCTTCTCCTGACTCATGGAATTGCAGGGGCCGACAAACTCAAGATAGCAGGCTACTGGCTTTGGAGGCTTACGAATCCAGGTGAAATGGCAGATTGTTGGCTCATAGGCTTTGAATACAGCAGTCCCAAGATTGGCAGTCAATACGGCAGTCCAGTGGTTCAAGTCCAAGAACTGGAGATGATGATGACCCAGATGCAGGATCAAGATCCAGCAGAAAGCCAGAGGATTTTCCCAGGATGTCCATATATATATTGAAAGCAGGCCACACCTCTGAGGAAATTGCCTTTTCAGCTTATTGGCTGCTCATAGCACATCTCATCATGGAGGTGATTACATTATGTCAGATCTCATCATGGAGGATGGTTACATCATAACTGCTAAACCACTGAGAATCATGGCCCACCCAAGTTTACACATAACCTTTACTATCAGTGACCAAAGTACAAGAGGAAGTCTGGCTATCCTTGCTGCTAAGGAGCATCCAGCTGTACTTCCTCTAAGACAGATTTGTTCATTCTTCTAGCATTCCGTTGTATAGTCAACATTCTTTGCCAGCACCACAATTCAAATGCCTTAATTCTTCTGTGGCCTTCCTTGTTCTTTGTCCAGCTCTTACATGCATATGAGGCTATTGAAAATACCATGGCTTATGTCAAGCACACCTTAGTCTTCAAAGTGACATCTTTGCTCTTAAAGAGGTCTTTTGCAGCAGATTTTCTCAATGTAATATATCGTTTGATTTCTTGACTGCTGCTTCCATGGGTACAGGTTGATTGTGGATCCAAGTAAAATGAAATCCTTGAAAACTTCAGTCTTTTCTCCGTTTTTCATCATGTTGTTTAATGGTCCAATTGTGAGGATTTTTGTTTTCTTTATGTTGAGATGTAACCTTTGCCGAAGGTTGTAGTCCTTGATCTTCATCAGTAAGTGCTTCAAGTCATCTTCGGTTTCAGCAAGCAAAGTTGTGTCATCTGAATATCACAGATCATTAATGAGTCTTCCTCCAATTCTGATGGCACATTCCTCTTCATATAGTCCAGCTTCTTGTATTGTTTGCTCAGCATACAGATTGAATAAGTGTGAAAGGATACAGCCCTGACGCACACCCTTTCTGATTTTAAACCATCCCCTTGTTCTCTTTGAATGACTGCCTCTTGGTCTATGTACAGGTTCTACATGAGCACAATTAAATGTTCTGAAATTTCCATTTTCCGCAATGTTATCCTTAGTTTGTTATGATCCACACGGTTGAATGCCTTTGCATAGTCAATAAAACACAGGTAAACATCTTTCTGGTAGTCTTTGCTTTCAGCCAAGATCTGTCTGACATCAGCAATGATATCCCTGTTCCATGCCCCTTTCTGCATCTGGTTTAATTTTCTGGCAGCTCCCTATTGATGTACTGCTGCAACCGTTTATTAAAATTTAACTTGCCTGTGATATTAAAGATATTGTTTGATTATTTCTGCATTCTGTTGGATCACCTTTCTTTGGAATGGGCATAGACATGGATCTCTTCCAGTCAAGTAGCCAGGTAGCTGTCTTCCCAATTTCTTGGTATAAACGAGTGAACACCTCCAGTCCTACATCTGTTTGTTGAAAGATCTCAGTGAATAGTCCATTAATGCCTGGATCCTTGTTTTTTGCCAATTCCTTCAGTGCAGCTTGGATTTCTTCTTCAGTATTATTGGTTCTTAACTAGCTCCTGAAATGGTTGAAGGTCAACCAGTTCTTTTTGGTATAGTGACTGTGTATTCTTTCCTGTAGTCAACAGCAATATCCTATTATTACCATGACCATCACTTTTCCTAAGGTTTCTTAATTACTTTAGAGAAAAGCAAAGAAATAGTAGAAAAATACAGAAGTCCCCCTTTGGTATTTTGAGAGTTATGGCATTGAGGTCAAGTAGACAAGACCAAGACTCAGGGTCTGAAAATTCCTGTTTCCATAAAATGGCGATTGTTCTTAATGCCATTTGTGCCTGGCTTCATGTTCAGGTAGCACGAAGAACGAGCAAATCTGTCTTGGAAGAAGTACAGCCAGAAAGCTCCTTAGAAGCAAGGGTGGCTAGACATTGCCTCTCCCTGGAGGAGGACACCATGTGGCAAAGTAGAGGGTCAGTGAAAAAGAGGAAGTCCCTCAACAAGAAGGATTGATACAGTGGCTACAACAATGGGCTCAAACATAGCAACCATTGTGACGATGGCACGGGACCAGGCAGCATTGGCTTGTTGTGCGGAGGGTCACTATGAGTTGAAGCCAACTCAGCAGCACCTACCAAAAACAACAGCCTGGTGTGGATGGCTGGAAAAGAGGCTTTGAGAGACTGAGTCATGGGTTGTGTTTCAGAGCGCTGGTGTGATTCATTAGAAAAGGACAGGAACCCAGAGACAGGTCTGTAAGTAGTGTCTGTGGCATCTGTTGTTGCCTGTGTGTGGGCATGTGGCCCTGTTCCTGCTCAGTTTGTTGTAGTAGAATCACTTTACTCAGGTGGACTCTGGTCAGTGTGCATCCCATAGCCAAGGGCCTGCCATACAGAAGAGTGAGTGGTCTGGGATGGAGGCGTACCACCAACCCGCTTGCCGTTGCGTTGGTTCTGACTCATGGTGACCACATGTGTGTCAGAGTAGAGCTGTGCTCCACAGGGTTTTCAGTGGCTGAATCCTCTGAAGCAAATCTCCAGGGTTTTTTTTTTCCCGGGTGCCTCTGGGTAGACTGAACCCCCAACCTTTTGGCTAGTGGTTGAGTGTGTTAACTGTTTGCACCCCCAGGGACTCCTTAGGAAGATGGCTTTCAGTTCAGCATGAAAAAGACCTTCCTAAAAGTAAGAACCTCCTAGAATAAGACACTAATCACAGCTCTGCTCTGGGTTCCTGTCCTTTTCTAATGAATCACCAGGAGCGCTAAAGGTATCCCATTCACAGAGGCTCCCTCCCAAAAAAGGCCCTGGACACAAGATTCGATCGCTCCTCACCCTGTCCAACCAGGAAGCCTCCTCCCCAAACACTGTTTCTGCCTCATTTTTAATTGGGGCCAGGAATCAATATTAACTGAAAAGTGTTTACAATATGATGTAGTTATGCCCATTTCACAGATGATAAAAACAGATACTCAGAGGGGTCAAGGTGTTTAAAGCTTCTTCTCTTGTAAGTGGCTGAGTTGGAGTTCCAGCTATATCTTAAGTCTTCCTGAATCCAAAGCTTCTAGAATATTGGCATAGCACTTTATTGGTTGTAAAATGTCTATATACATAGGCACCGATGTGGGAGGTGAGCCCGGTGTCTACACATACTGTAGGTCAACTAGTTGCTTGTTTCTTCTAAGACTCAGAAGAAATACCACGAGAATGCTCCTTAGAAGCAAGGGTGGAGGGACTTTACTTGCTTCTTTTGCACATGTCTTAAGGTAAGACCAGTTGCTAGAAAAGGGCGTTACGGCTGGTGCAGTAGAGGGTCCGTGGGAGCGAGGGCAGCTGTCCATGAGACCGACTGATGTAGTAGCCATGACGGTGGACTCAAACCAGCCAACGACCAGGAGGCTGGTGCAGGGCTGGGCAACGTTTTACTCTGTTACACGTAAGGTCACCGTGAGTTGCGGCCTTCTTGACAGCAACTAACAACAGTAGCAGTTTGTTGGGCACGTTTTAGAGGACATTCAAACATGAACCAGCTGGTGGATGAGATGGTGTTCAAGGTCTCTTCCAACTTTTCCATGGCATCATTGGTCTTTCGTTCTGATTTGAAAGACACATTTAACATCCTCTCTTAGTGATATTGATCCAACAATTATTTTATTTCAGTGAAGAAAATATTTGGAAGCTCTGTGAATACATCAAAAACCATGATCAGTATCCTTTAGAAGAGTGCTACGCTGTCTTCATATCTAACGAGAGGAAGATGGTAAGTAGATGAAACATTGTAGGAAGAAAACCAGAGGTTTAGGATGATATCAAAGCTGGTGCAGCATGGGTTTAGCATGCTTCTAAAGTGTGCTTTGTAAAATTCCACACACTTTAAAGTTTGTTTTTGAATGAGATTTTTTTCCTTACAGGGCACGGTTGAGTCAGAGGAGTTTAGTCCCTTTTTTGTAGGTAAGGAAATATCTGATGGTATGTTTATACAGACGATGTCCCTTTCTTTAGGTATTACTTTAGAGCTTTTTAAAATTTGCTTAGATTAGAACCATACATGCTCAGGTGTGAAGTTATGAATTCATTGTTTCTGGAGTTTAGATGGAACTACAGTAAACTTTTGTTGTTGTTGTTGTTATGTACTGTCGAGTCGGACCCAACTAATAGCGACCCCTCCTTGGGTTTCCGAGGCTGTATCACTATGGAAGTAGATTGTCCCATCTTCCTTCCGAGGAGTGGCTGGTGGGTTTGAACCGCCAGCCTTCTGGTTAGCCGTCAAATGCCTTAGGCGCTACGCTACCAGAGCTCCCAGTAAACTTTTGGGAAGTATTAAAAAAAACAAAGTAATCCCTTCATATTTTGTAAAGCATTTTTGCAAGCATCGTCTCCTTTGATCCTCCTGGAAACCCTGTGAAGTAGGCAGGGCTCAGACAAACTCCTGTGTTTACAGATGAGGAAACAGAGGCTTAGGGAGGGCCACTGACTGCCAGCATCTTGAACATGCAAGACTTGAACCTGTCATGTCTCCTGACTGCTAGTTCAAAGCCCTTCCCACACTTGAAAGAATGCCATAAAATTAATTTTTGCCATTGTACGCTTTCCTGGTTAAGGACACTTGGAAGGATTTGGAATTCATTTACTTGCCTTGATTGTAGGCTGCTTACAAATATTTCCTTTCTCACTTACATATGGCGTAAAGACTGCAGTGGTGGTTAGCTGAGGTTGTGGCTCATGAAAGTCATTGTTTTTCTAGGTACCTATATGGAAACAACAGGCGAGACCTGGAGATGGGCCTGTGATCTGGGTAAGATGGCCAATACAGAGCCTCTGGGCATGATTATTTGCCATCAGCAGAAGTGGTGGGACAGTAGGGAAAAGCTGTGGTCCTTATGAATAAACTGCTCTTTATGAGAGTAGAAATTATCTGGTAAAAGGTAGAAGCACTTACAGGAATGACTATGGTTCGCTTTTTGTTTAGAATTATTTCGGGAATGATTGATGCAGCTGACGTGACAGATAGTCTGGACATGATCTCCTGGACTCTTACCCGGTCGGGGGACCCGGGCCATATCTAGTCCTACAGCTGCACATCAGAATGGTCTGGAGACTGTGTTAAAAAGAAAGACGTTGGGTGTAGAAGATCTGCGAGGAGTTTACAGACACATTGGTGCTCAGTGGTAGAATTCTTGTCTTCATGCAGGAGATCCGGCTTTCATCCCTGGCCGGTGCCCCTCGTGCATGGCCACCACTTGTCTGTCAGCGTTAGTTTCCACCTTGGCATGATGCTGAATGGGTTTTAGCAGATCTTCCAGGCTTCCCAGGATCAGCCTCTGATGACCCTGTGCATCATGGTGGTCTGATGTGCTACCAACCATGGGGACGGGGCAGGACCAGGCAGTGTTTCATCCCACTGTGCATGGGGTCACCATGACTTGGGGCCAACTGATGGCAGCTAACAACAACAACAGAGATGGGTTTAGGAATTAGTTTTCTTAACCAACTCCCGAAGGAGCGTGACTGGTATTTGAAAAATCTGTGTCTTCTCCATGCCTTCATTTTCACGGTGAAGAGACAAACCCAGAAAGGCAGAGTGAGCAGTTCAGGGCCACATAGTTTCTCAGTGGCACAACAGAGTCTCCGACCCAGGGAGCCTTTCCTACACAGCTGTATGTTCCTTTACCTTGTCCCCATTAGGAACTGAATTGCCTGCTCTAATAAACACCCAGATAAAGTCAAAGAAAAACTCTATTAATGATAATGTAATAAATACCCAGTTTCTGGATACTTGTTTAAAATTATCTATGACCTGAATTATTTTCTTTCATTTATTTAGCACATGGTTATTGAATGGCCAGTTATATGTCAGGTAGAAAACAGACAAAAACCCCTGGCCTCAGGGAACTCACGTTCTTGCTTTCTTCTGCAACAGGTACCTTGCTGACGTTAGAGTCTAAGCCCAGAAGTATTGAGTTAGCTTGGGCCCTGGTGTCAAGTGGCCTGCAGTTAAGTCCTAGTCTTCCCGTTGGTTGGCTGTGTGACCCGAGATAAGCTCCTTGTCTTCTCTCTCCAATTTCTTCCTCTGGGTGGTGGGTTGTGAGCCTTAAGTGTGATAAGGTTTCCAAGCTATTATCCTGGTATGTGGTATATACTAAGTGCTTAAGAAGTGTTAGCTATATTAGCAGCAGCGTTAAATAACCCCTGCTGTAGACTGTCAGGCTGCCCCAGAAGTCACCCTCCTGCTGAAATGCCTCTGATTTGGAGTCATGCTCTGGCTTCTTCATCTTAGGGAAACTTGCAAGGAAGGCACCTGTGGTGATGTCACCCTTGTGCAACATCTAGTGCCAGTTCAGGGTGGGGAATCCCATTGCATGAGGTCTCTTTTATCCCCTGGCAGACTTATCTCCCTTGCTGCCGTGGGCAATGGGCCTCCAACAGAGTACATGGCACTGTGCCTTCAGGAGTAGGTCACCGTCCAGGTGGGTGTCCAGTCTTGCAGCACAGCCAGCTGTGCGATCGCCGAGAGTCCTTCTCTGCTCAGCTCTATTCCTGACTCCACCTGCATGCCGTGGAGGTGATTTTGGGTCGAGGCTTGCTTATTGTGAGTTCATCGGGCTTCTGGTGTGAAGGAATATGGACCTGGACTAACCAGCTGGTTGTGCATTTTTATTGTTTATGCCTCTTCCCAAGTTGTGCCTTCCTGGCAAGCTCTCCTCTTCTGGCAGGATTCGGGTGATGCAGCCCAGAACGCTTCTTAGTGTTAGGCACCACCCCGTCCTGTCCTTGCTTTCTTGGTTAGCTTTTTAAAAGGTGCAGCATTTACATATATAACCTCACCAACTCTCTCAGTAGCACTGTGAAGCAGTTTCCCCATTTTATAAAAGAGGAAACAGGCTGGTGAGTGCAGAGGCCAAGGTTTGAACCATGCAGTGTGACTTCAGAAGGCTCTCACCTGCGTGCTATCCTGCCTCCTTTGTTGTACACAATCACACACTGCACTCACAACAGTTCCCTTGTGTTTCCCACTGACTTCTCTGCAAACTCATTGAGAGTAAAGACTTTATCTTTTTCATCTTTGTATCTGTAGTTAAACAATACCAAAACCTAAACCAAACCCACTGCCATCGAATCCAACTCACAGCGACCATAAGGGATAGAATAGAACTTCCCCATAGGGTTTTCAAAGCTATAAATCTTGACAGAAGCAAACTGCTTCATCTTTCTCCTATGAAGTGGCTGGTGGATTTGAACCGCTGACCTTTAGTTGGCAGATGAATGCTTTAACCATTGTGTCCCTAGAGCTTCTTTACACAGCAGTTTCCCTTTCCCACAAATACCAAACCAAAAAACCAAACCCACTGCTATCAAGTCAATTCCAACTTATAGTGACTCCTATTGGGTTTCCGAGGTGGTAAATCTTTATGGAAGTAAATTGCCTAGTCTTGCTTCCATGGAGTGGCTGGTGGGTTTGAACACCATCCTTCTGGCTAGCAGTCAGAGGCCTTAGGCCCTATGCTACTATAGCTCGTCCTACAAATGAGAGGAAATCAAGTCGTTGGTGTCAAGTGATTGTGACTCATGGTGACCCTACAGGACAGAGCAGAACTGCCTGATAGGGTTTCAGATACTTAAAAAAGGAAAACAAAACAACTGTAATATGAGGTAAAAGGTGTTATAAGAAAAACAGATTTTGGATAAGGCAGAGATTACTTGGTGGGGGTTGGGAAGGTGAAAAGTTGCCTTGCGTGGAGAAAACCTTTCAGCCCAAGCTTGAGTCATGGATTTGGGAGAGAGGTGGAGAAGGGAGCTGGAGGGAGTCCCTGAGCCCAGGAGAAGGAAACAGTCTGTTGTGAGGAGAACAGCTCTCAGTTAGTTTATCTGGAGGGTTTATCTGGTCATCAAGTGGAGGAGAGGAAATAAGGGTCCCTTTTTAGTGCTATTCTAAGGCTATTTCTGGTTCACTAAGATAGGCCCAAAGTGGAAAGGAGCCCTTTGGGCTCTGATGGTGCAGCACCTCTCAAACCAAAACCCAGACTCACTGCCATCAAGTCGATTCCAACTCACAGCGACCCCCATTGGGTTTCCGAGTTGGTAAATCTTTACGGGAGTAGATTGCCCCATCTTCTTCTGTGGAGCGGCTGGTGGGTTTCAACCACCGACTTTCTGGTTAGAAGCAAATGCCTTATCCACTAAGCCATCAGAGTTCCTTATATCTCCAGTCATAATTAATTATCTTCTCCAGGGGCTCAAATGGCAATAACATTTGAGAAAGTACTTTGTGAACTCCAGAGCACTGTAGAAATGTACGCTGGTCTTGCCAATGTTGTTAGGAAGAAAGTTTCAGCTTGCCGTGCTGTTGTCTGTGACAGCATTGCTCTTCTGAGGAGCCCAGAGCACCGGAGACCGTCTTGTCCCTTGATAACCTCCCGAAAGCCTTTCCAGCTGCAGCACTGTTGGGCAGTGCCTGGTGTCTGGAAGTGAGAGGAGGAGTTAACACACACTGTGGAACGGTGAAGGAGTGCGTGGAGAAGCTGTCATTCTCTGTCTCCCTTAATGGCTATAGAGTAGGGCACAGACTTTTTCTTTTAATTACAAAAGTAGCATATGTTTAACAGATTCAACCAGTACACAAGTATAGTTAACAGGATGTTAAAGTCCTTCTTCCTCTCTTCAGGCTGACCCCAAGAAGTCCCTGTTGTAGATCAGACTTACTGGTCTGGTAGAGACTGGTGGAATCCTGGGACTGTGGCCCTTAGACACCTCTCAGACCTGGAACTGAACCCAGCCCTGGAGGATTCCTTTCAGCCAAGCAGTGTTACTGTTCGGTGCTGTTGCGATGGCTCCGATTCATAGGGACTCCATGTGCAATAGAGGGAAGCACGGCCTGGTCCTACGCCCTCATAGTCTTTGCTCTGCTTAAGCCGTTATTGCAGCCACGGTGTTGATCTACCTCCTTGAGGGTCTTCCCTTTTTTCACTGACTCTCTACCAAGTATGTTACCCTTCTTCAGGATCGGTCCCTTCTGACCACATGACCAAAATTCAGGAGATGAAGTCTGGCCATTCTCTTTTCCAAGGAGCATTCTGACTACACTTCCTCCAGGACAGATCTGCTAGTTCTTTTAGCAGTCCATGGTACTTTCAGTGTTCTTCGCCAGCACCACAACTCAAACGCGTCAACTCTTCTTCGTTCTTCCTTACTCATTGTCCAGCTCTCACATGCCTAGGAGGCCATTGAAAATGCCATGGCTTAGGTCAGGTATACCTTAGTCTTCAAAGTGACATCTTTGCTTTTTAATACTTTAAAGAGGTCTTTTGCAGCAGATTTGCCCAGTGCAATATGCCGTTGGATTTCTTAACTGTTGCTTTCATGGGCATTGATTATAGATCCAAGTCAAATGAAATCCCTGACAACTTCAGTCTTTTCTCCATTTATCATGATGTTGCTTATTGATCCAGTTGTGGGGGTGTTTGTTTCTTGATGGTGAGGTGTAGTTCACACCTCACGGACCTTTAAGGAGAGCAGTAATGGAAGCAACATGCTCCTCAGTACAGTCAACTACACGAGACCAGAAGGGCAGCATTGGTCCAGAAACGCAGCTCAGAAGGGGCAGGAAAGAAGGACGAATGGAACAGAGAATTCAGGGAGGAAGGGGAGAGTGCTGTTCGCTGTTGTTGTTGTTGTTATGTGCTGTAGAGTCGGACCCAACTCATAGTGACGCCTCCTTGGGTTTCTGAGGCGGTATCACTACGGAAGTAGATTGCCCAACCTTCCTTCCGAGGAGTGGCTGGTGGGTTTGAACCTCCAGCCTTCTGGTTAGCACTCAAGTGCCTTAGGCACTATGCTACTAGAGCTCCTGCTGTTACATTGAGGGGATTGCACCTAACGTCATGAAACAAAACGTGTATAAATTGTTGGATGGAAAACAAATTTGCTCCATAAACTTTCACCCAAACCACAATAAAAAGTAAAAAAAAAAAAAAGTCCCTGTGATGGTTATGTTTGTCAACTTGGCTAGGCCTGGTTGAGTGGCTGGGCAGCTGGATGTAGTATTCCCCATGATGAAACTGGTAATCAACCCCATGGTGGAATCTACTGTGAGCAGCTGAGTAGCTGCCTTGGATATGTGATCTGCTTCCTGTTTATAAGGAGAAGTTTTGAGAATGGTCTCTAGCCTTTGGCACGCTTGGACCCTGCATGTCACTGTGTCGTTGCTCAGCAGCCTGCTAAGGCTCTGCCGACCTTGGGACTTACAGTGGACTTACAGTGAACTTAAGTTAATGGCCTGCTGTGTGGATTGGTAACATCAGGACTGTGCCTTTTTTCTTGTCAACCTTGGGGCTTCTCAGCCTCAGCAGCCAGCAGCTGTCTGAGTGAAGAAATGCTTCACTCAGCTCCAGTGGGTCGGGAGCAGGAGGCAGAGCTGGACCCCAAGGTTGAGGGGCTTTCACCCAGCCCCTAGAGCCTGGCACTTTGAACTTGGACTTAAAGCCTCCAAATTGTAAGAATAAACTCCTGTTTGTTAAGGCCATCCCATCTGTGGTATGTTCTCGTCAGAGCGGCACTAGGTAACAAGAGCAGTCCCTTTTTTGTTAGCAGTTTGGAGAACACTCTTGGGGTGTTTCTCTGCATTCGTGTGCCCCGCCCCCCATATGAGGGATACGATAGATACCTGCTCTGCGTTTGCTTCTTGCATGCAGCTGTGTGATATGGATGGTTTTCTATTTTTCACATCAATTCACCTGATTCCTTTAGCAGTGCACAGTGCTCCGTCATATAGCTGTATCATAGGTTATAACCATTCTCCTCTGGACGGACTTTGGACTGTTTCTGAGTTTTCATTGTTCTAAGTAGCGCTGCAGAGGTTATCATTGTATATATACCTCTATCTGCTTACAGATATTTTTTCTGTAGGGTTGATTCCTAGAGCTAAAATTGTTGGGTCAAAGGGTCTTCATTTAATTTATCTGAACATTCCTATTATTTATTTAATCATTCGTTGACACCATTTAGTGTATCATCAGGGTTTTGTGTTCACTTTACTTCATATTGCTGTTCTGTTTTTGTGGTGTGTTGTTGAGTCTGTTTCAACTCACAGCAACTCTATAGGACAGAACAGAACTGCTCCATAGGGTTACCCAGGCTGTAATCTTTATGGGAGCACACTGCCACATCTTCCTCCTATTGAGTGACCAGTGGGTTCGAACCACTGACTTTTCAGTTAGCAGCCGAGCACTCAACCACTGCACCACCAGGGCTCCATTTTGCTGTTGTAAGGAAGGTTGTATTAGTCTGTATCTGATTTTGATAATATTTATGACATTATTGAGGGCCGTGATAATAGTAGCATCCTCGCCTTGCGTGCCGGAGATCGAGGCTAGATTCCCAGCCAGTTCGCTTCAATGCTTCAAGCGCAGCTCCCCATCTTTCAGTGGAGGCTCGTGTGTTGCTATGACGATGAACAGGTTTTAGTGGAGCCTCCAGGCTAAGACAGGCTGGGAAGAAAGATCTGGTAATTTATTTCTGAGTAGTAGCCAGTGAAAACCCTGTGGATCACAGTGATTGCATCCCGTTGGACGTGAGATCACCATGACAAGAACCGGCTAGATGGCAGCTCACAGCAGTAGAATTATTACTGTAAACCTGGATTTCACCATCATAAAATAAGTTGTATAACTTCAGCAACTTTCACTTGCAGGATTACCATGTTGTTTTGCTTCATGTCTCCAGTGGAGGACAGAGCTTCATTTATGATCTCGACACTGTCTTGCCATTTCCCTGCCCCTTCGACATGTATGTGGAGGATGCCTTTAAGTCTGATGATGACATTCACCCACAGTTCAAAAGGTGAGGAAGTTCAGAACGGATTTGCTTCCTTTCTGAAGACTTTGACAGTTAAGCAGAGTTTTTATGTCAGGTTTTTAAAGATCACTTGTCTTTGATGACCATCAAGTTGACATTGGAGAACGATGTGCTATGTAGAAAATTTAGAATGTTTTTAAGTTTTTAAGGGTTATCCAGCATATAAAAGATTGAGAGGCATTTAGAAATTATGGGATGAGATCTGAAACATTTTCTTTCCAGCATGTGGGGAATTTCTCTCATATGCTTGTTTGTGGGAGAAATGCCTTGAAAGGACTTATGACAGCACCTGAACTTTAAGCCCTTTGTCCCATCTGCAGTTGAGTAAAATAAAGGTGACCAGATATGTTCGTGTCTTTTTGTAGTTTAGAGCATAGCAACTTTCCGTGTTTCTCAAAGCATATACTACTGTATGGCATATTGTTATATATAATAATATATAGTATAATGTATATAAAAAAAACAAACCAAACCCACTGCCATTGCGTCTTTTCCAACTCATAGCAACTGCCTGGGTTTCTCAGGCAGTAAATCTTTATGGAAGTAGATTGCCCAGTCTTCCTTCCATGGAGTGACTGGTGGATTTGAACCACCAACCTTCTAGTTAGCAGTCAAATGGCTTAGGCACTGTGTTAACAGAGCTCCTTAATAATGTATATATAATGTATAATACATGCCTTGGGAGTAAATACATATATGCATATATATGTAGTTTATTATTATATAATATAATATGCTTTGGGAAGTACATATAATGTTATATATTATCAAATTTGTGCACACACACACAGGCATATATGTTGCTTAGGCAAGAGCTCCATACTTTAGTGTTTCTAATGAGGTTTATTTTGTAGCATTGCATTCAGTCCTAAAAAGCTGCTACATGCGTTAAAGGTTCCATCAACCAGTCAGATGCTGTTCTGGGCCCTTGTGTAGGAACATATGACTATTCTACCATTACTAATAGTTGGAGGTTGTAGGAAGTGACGAGGGCATATATGTGTGTTTTATTCTCCTTTTTTTTTCCTCTTGTCTTCTCTGCACAGGAGGGACAGGAATTAGGTGGAGGTGTATTTATATGGATTGCTGTAACTTGGCTTGAGGAAGTCAGATTGAAGTGGAGGAAACTGAGATGAATAACCATTATACAGACTTGTCTGAAAGACCCAGTTCCAGCACTGGCCACCAGTGGCTCAGTTTTTTAGGACATGTCCTGAGCCTGGGCTGACCACATTTGTCCCCTTTTCTTCCTGATGCTTTTGCTGCCTTTTTGTCCCCATGTGCCCCATGAGCTCTTGCTCTTGCCTTACAGAAAGAAGTGGCTAATTTGAACTGAGTTTGAGGACCAGTGTTACGTAAATAGAAATGTTATAATTTCTTATAGGAAGATAATGGGCAGACACTTACCCGTCACATATCTTTTTAAGTTAATGAGTGTCTGCAGATAGCAGTCATGATCTGTAGTGGCCTCCATGAACCCATTTTCAAGGACAGGAGTATTGTGGCCAGTATCCATCACATACATTTCATGTTACATTTAACACTGTGATTGACGAAACCATATTAGATTGTGGTGGTGATGTTGGGTGCCGTGGAGTTGATTCTGACGCATAGTGATCCCATGTGACAGATAGAACTGCCCGAGAGGGTTTTCTTGAGTCAGTCATTACTGACACAGCTTGCCACGCCTTTCTCCCGCAGAGCCACAGGGGAGTTTGAACTGCCCACCTTTCGGTTAGCAGCCAAGCACTTAACTGTTGTGTCACCAGGAAGATTACAGCCTAGAAAACCCTCTGAGACAGTTCTCCTCTGTCACAGGGTCACTATGCGTCAGAATCAACTTGACGGCACCCAACCACAATAACAATATTAGTTTGTAAATAATGGTCATTGGGAAACCCCAAAGGTCCTAGAAATAAAACATGAAAATTAAAATTTAGATCAATTTTGGAGAATAGAGGGCAGTGTTTGCACAGGGAGACAGCTCAGGGGGCAATAGTGCATGGGAGGGAAGGACACAGGGAAGAGGTAAATGTGGAGAGGAGGTGGGAAAAGAGGTGTTACATTGTGGGGAATTGCAGTCAGTGCTATGAGACAAAATGTATATGAACTGCTGCTGTATGGAAAATGCATTCACTCTGTAAACTACCCAAATCACAATAAAAGTTAAAAAAAAAATATTGAGATCTTATTGCCTTGTATCAAACACTGAAGTTGAAAACTTGGGTAACAAATCCCTAGTGGGATGTGTGGTAGCTGGCAGGAGCAGGAGCATTGAGGCTTATGCAGGGCGCTGTCACCTGGAAGGCTGCATGGCCACAGCAGGTGTGTGGTTGAACTAAAAGAGAAGGATGAGTCAAGAGTCCAAGTCAAGTGTCCTGAAGTCTGATAGGGTGGACACTCCTGGGGCAAAAGAGCACTCATTCCACAACATCACTCTCTTAACGTTTTTTTTTGGATGGGAAATTTAAGCATCTTCAGAGGTGTGGTAATGACCCTCCATGTCTCCAGTATCAGTTGTTAATAATGATTGGCTAGTTGTTGTTTCTCCTATAATCTAAACCACGGCCCCCTTCTCCTCCCGTTATTTTGAAGCAAATCCCAGACATCTTACCTTGTCATTTGTAAATACTGCATATGTATTTTTTAGAAGTAAGATCTGTTTTTCTGAAGCATACCGCAATTGTATTACCATATCAACAAATGCGCAAGATTCCTCAGTATTTTTGAATAACCAGACTGAATCACTTTTGATGTCTTCTGATAACAAAAAGGAATTTTGCTTCAACTGAAATTCTCTAAAAACTATAAGCAGAATTGTGAAAAATTGATTTTTTTTGGTAGAAGAATATTAATAACAATGCTTATTGAGCCCTTCCTGTGTGCCAGGCCCTATCCTAAATGCTTTGTGTGTGTCTCTGTAGGTCAGTTCTCTCAGCCCATTTGGTGGAGGGTCAAAGAGAGCTGAGTTACAGAGAGCTTGAGAACTGGCTGAATCCAGGCAGCGGTGGAATCACTTACATAGTTTAACTACACAGCTAATTCCTGCTTAGAGTTGCTTGTTTTTAATTTGTCTGCCGCTGGTTGAATTTTATTGTTATTGCTAGTTATAGGATTTAAAACATATTTCAATTAGATTTATTAGAAATGAGCAGAGTGGGAGATAAGGTAGACTGGGAGCATATACATTTCAAACCCCTTCCATCTCATAGAGCCAAGGATTTTAGCTCATTTTCCATGGCTTCTTTAATAGCTAATAAAGCCACATACCAGGAGCTCTGGTAGCGTAGTGCCTAAAGGCATTTGACTGCTAACCAGAAGGCTGGTGGTTCAAACCCACCAGCCACTCCTCAGAAGGAAGATAGGGCAATCTACTTCCGTAGTGATACTGCCTTGGAAACCCAAGGAGGGGTCCGACTTGACGGCACATAACAACAACAACAAAGCCACATACCTATTTGTGTACCACAAATAGAATATAAGTAACATAGAAAATGAGTCTGTCTGAATGTTGAGTTAGAATTTCAAATGCAACATTTCCCTAACCTAAATGTCTGTTGATTCATCGGCAGGAAATTTAGAGTGATCCGAGCAGATGCATATTTGAAGCACTTTGCTTCTGACCGTTCTCACATGAAAGATTCCAGTGGGAACTGGAGAGAGCCGCCCCCACCATATCCCTGCATTGAAACTGGAGGTGAGCCAAGGATGCCTTCTCAGAGGGGTTCCAGTCATGGTACAGGTCACCATGTTCTCTTCTACAGGGACAGGTTGGGTTATTCTTTGGATAAAGCTCCCTGAGTGAGAAGGAGGTAAGGCAGAGTGCTGCACTTCCGTGGTTTTATTCAACACAGAAATTGAGGCACCGAGGGGACTGGCAGGCATCAAGGTGTTTAGGAGCAGAGCTGTGATGCTTACAGGCTGCTAGGATACTGGATATACCTACCACCAGTTGTGGTTCGGGAGCTCTGGTAGCATAGTGGCTAAGACACTTGCCTGCTAACCAGACGGCTGGCGGTTCAAACCCACCAGCCACTCCTCGGAAGGAAGGTTGGGCAATCCTACTTCCGTAGTGATACTGCCTCGGAAACCCAAGGAGGGGTCGCTATGAGTCGGGGCCGACTCGACGGCACATAACAACAACAACAACAGTTGTGGTTCAGTGGTAGAATTCTTACCCTCTATGTGGGAGACCTAGGTTCCGTTCCTGGACAGTGTGCCACAAGTGGCCACCAGCCATCTGTCAGTGGAGGCCACTGTGTTGCTGGGACGCTGAGCAGGTGACAGTGGAGCTTCCAGACTAAGACGGACCAGGGAGAAATTCCTGGGGTCTGCTTCTGCAGCTCGGCCACTGAAACCCTGTGGGTCACAGTGGTCTGATCCACAGCTGATCACGGGGATGGCACAGGCCTGGCTGCATTTCGTTCCATTCTGCATGGCGTTGCCATGGGTTAGGGGCCAACTTGGTATCTGCTGACAACCACCACCACTGGGACACTGCACTTCAAAAGATCTACATGTTTGTGTCATTTAACAGTGAGACTAGTAGCACGCAACTATGGTAGGATCTCATGTTATTGGGAAAAAAAAACCCTGTGCATCCTTATGTTGTGTGAATTTCATAATACATTTCACTGGCTCTATAAATAAAATCTGCATTACAGGAAGATGAGAGCTAATTTAAGTGCTTTTAGGCATCAGCCCAATTTTTAATTTCCTGAGATTTAAGAAGATAAAGGGTTCCTCACCCTGTTCTACTGTTTGGCCTTCATATGAGTTTGAAACATTATTTATGATTGTTAGTAATTCATAGCGTTGCCCTTTATTGGTGAGATCATCCCATCACGTGGGTAATACTGTCTGTGTGAAAGTGCTCTGTAAGCTGAGCAATGTGCCAGAACATTAGAGGAGTCCTATTAGTGTTGCAGTAAGGAAAAAAGTGAAAACCCTGTTAGGCATCTTTGAAGGCAGGGCCTGTTAAAGGAAGATTCAGACTCTCATTTTTGAAGCTCTTTGTGCAAAGCTGTCATCATAGAATTGCTTGCTGGTCCACCAAGCTGCTGCCCAGTCTCAGCATTAGGATCACACCTAGGTTAGGGGAGGGCTCTGTCTCAGGTTACAGGTGTTGCTGTGACAGAAATACAGAAGGGTGGCTTTGAAGTGCAGAATTTGATTTTGTCCCAGTTTTGGAGGCCAAAAGTCCAGATCAGGGTTTTGGCTTCTGTAGGTGTCTCCTGGCGATCTTTGCTTGCAGACGGGTCTGTGCATGGCATCTGGCTTCCCCGTGTGCGTCTGCATTTATTCTGCTCTTTTTGTAAGTGATTGGGTTTAGGACCCATGCTGCTCCCACAGGACCTTATTAACATAACAGAAGAAACCCTGTCATCCCAAACAGGGTCATATTTACAGGTCCAGGGTTAGGACTTCAGCAGCACGTTTTGACACAGTTCAACCCACAGCATCCTCTTAGTCTCAGGCGACCTGCTGTACAGTTTCTTTGTTATGTCTTTCGATTCATTGATCTTGTGTGTTAACTAACAGGCTCTTAATTCCATCCGGTGCGTTTTTTCATTTTTACGTAATTTATTCTTTTCTTTTCTAGATGTGTTCTGGGGCTTAGTTAGCATCTTCTGTTTCTCTCTTCCCTCCACCTTGCTGAACTTCTGAAGCTTGTTTAGGATAGCTGTTTTATGGTCTTTGCCTGTTACTCCCGTCATCTCAGACCTGTTATTTTAAGTCTCTTTCTGTTCAGTTTTTCTTCCAGGTTTGGGTCGTATTTACTCGCTTCTTTGTGTGATTTATAATACTGATGTGGTGCTAGACTTGTAAGTTTTATATTGTGGTTGCTAGGTTTTAAGGCATTTTGAAAAGTACTGTTGGATTTTGTTCTGGCAGGCAATTAAATGCATTGCACTCAACAAGATTCTTTTGAGGCTTGCTTTTAAGCTTTTTTTAGGGCAAGTTCAGAGCAGCCTTTCATTCCGTGCTAATCTAGCCCCTCCTGTGGCGTGGCCTTCTGATGACTCTATAGAATGCTTGTGTGTTACAGACTCTCTCCACTCTGGCTGGTGAGAATGTGATGTAGTCCTGCCCCTGTGGAAGTTTGGTGGAAGTTTAGTTTCTTGTAAAGATCCCTGATGGTGCAGTGGTTAAAGTGCTTGGTTATTCACCAGAAGGCTGGCAGATTGAATCCACCAGCCGTTCTGTGGGAGAAAGATGTGACACCTTCTGTAAAGATGACAACCTTGGAAACCCTATGGGACAGTTCTGCTCTGTCCTGTAGGATCACTATGAGTTGGAATCTACTCAGTGGTGGTGGGTTTAGTGTTGGGCTATGATTCCTGGGGGCACAGTGGTTATAGTGCTTGACTGCTAACCGAAAGTTGGCGGTTTGAACCCACTAGCCACTCTGAGGCAGAGAGATGTGACAGTCTGATTCTGTAAAGATTTGTTGTTGTTAGGTGCTGTTGAGTCATTTCCGACTCATAACGACCCCATGCACAGCAGAACGAAACACCACCCAATCCTGCGCCAGCTCCATGATCCCTGCTATACTTGAGCCCATCGTCGCAGCCACCGTGTCAATCTATCTCATCGAAGGCCTTCCCCTCTTTCGTCAAACCTCCACCTTACCAAGCATGACATCCTTCTCCAGGGAATGGTCCCCTCTGATAACATGACCAAAGTAGGTGAGATGAAGTCTGGCCATTCTCACTTCCAAGGAGCCTCTCAGCCGTACTTCTTCCAGCACAGATCTGCTAGTTCTTTTAGCAGTCCCTGGTACGTTCAGCATTCTTCGCCAGCACCACAACTCAAAAGCATCAGCTATTCTTCGGTCTTCTTTATTCATTGTCCAGCTTTCACATGCATACAAGGCGATTGGAAATATCATGGCCTGTGTCAGGCGCACCTTACTGCTCAAGGAGTTCCTTCACAGCCGACCTGCCAGTGCTACACGTCGTCTAATGTCCTGACTGCTGCTTCCATTGGCCTTGATCTAACAAGATTTACAGCCTTGTAAACCCTATGGGGCAGTTCTGTTCTGCCCTACAGGGTTGGTAGCAGTCTGAATTGACTCAGTGGCAGTGGGGTTTACTTTCTGGTGGTTCTTTCCCTGGCCTCATGAAGTATCATCTTAAGTGAAGTTCAGTACTTAGCCAACAACACAGAGCTCTGTCATCTCTTTGCAGCTCCCTCCTCTCCAGACTCTGCCCAGATCCCCAGCTGCCTTGGCCTGCCTAACCATCAGTCTCTGTCTGCTCAGCTCAGGAACTGGCCTTCCTGAATGTCTGTCTCTGTCTCCTCAGCGAAGGAGAAGGCCATGCTGTTTGTGCTCCCTCTCTGTGCTGTAATCTGGAAGTAGCCCCCAGGCAGTGAGCTGGCAGGTCACCGTCACATGCTGCTTGTTGCCAGTGTCTAGAAATAGTTGCTTCTTATGTTTACCCCAGTTTTCTAGTAGTTTGTGGTAGGAGTGGCATTACTGTAACAGTTTTTGGATGGGCAGGAGCAGGATTCTGTATATACATAAAAAAAAAGTTTAAGTCATACACAAAACTGGACAGAGTAGTCTGCTAGTCCTTGAGCAGTGACCATCTCACGATTAGTCTCAATTCATTTATGTCCCATCCTGTCTCTCCACCTTTCGCATTCCTCTGAAGCAAATCCTGCATATTATGTCATTTTAGTTCTTAACATTCAGCATGCATCTCTAAACTATATGGATTTTTTTTTTAAATGAAACAAGGCCATAATATGATTATGACATCTGAAGAAAAGAACGGCAATTCCTGAAAATCACCATGTGCCTAGCTAGTCAGTGGTCAAGTGTTGTTATCTCTAAAGTCATCATCTTCTTTCATCCAGTGTGTTTATTTGACTCCGAGTCTAAATAAAGTCCACATGTTGTACTTGGTTCACATGTGTCTTAAGTCTTTTTAAATGTATAAATGCTTTTTCCAACTGCTTTTTTCTTCTAATTCATTTGTTGAAGAATCTGGGTCCTGTAGCCTGTAGAGTTCCCCACAGTCTGCACTTTGCTGATTGTATCTCTGTTGTTGCCCTGAATTTCCTATAAGTTGGCAGTTGACTCCAATAAATGACGAGTTTGATTAGTCATGCATTTTTTTTTCATTTAACTTTTTATTTTGAAATTATTTTAGACTTAAGCAGAAAATTTGCTCAAACACTACAGAGTTCCTGTATCTGCTTTACTCCTATTGACCTAGAGTTAAATCTTACCTACATAGGACAATAATTGAAACCAGGAAATTTATGTAGTACAGTTATATTGATACAGTACTTTTAATTGATTTTAGACCTTAAGGTCTCTAACTGGTGCAAATAGTTTATGGAGACTCCTGTCCTAGAGGCTGATGATTTGAACTCACCCAGTGGTTATATGATGGTCTGTTTCCATTAAGATTACAGCCAAGCAAACCGATTGTGGAGCAGTTCTGCTCTAGTGCATGGGGTTGCCGTGAGTCAGAATCGACTTGACATTAACTAACAATAACAGCAATTTGAGAGCTTATTCAAATTCCTCATGTTTTTCCACTGATTTACTTTTTCTGGTCCCACTCAGGATCCTGCATTGCATTTAAGTATCCACATCTCCTTGGTCTCCTCCAATCTAGTACAATTCTATTTTATTTCATTTTGTCTTTCATGACCTTTACGATTTAGAAGAGTACAGGTATTTATTTTGTGGTGCCTCTCAGTTTTGGTTTGTGTGATGTTGGTTTGGTTTGCTTGGTGGTTTGGTTTGCATGATGTTGCAGTTTGCGTGGTGTTTTGGTTTGTGTGGTGGTTCGGTTTGTGTGATGTTGCAGTTTGCGTGGTGTTTTGGTTTGCATGGTGGATTGGTTTGTGTGGTGTTCTGTCAAGACTGGATTGAAGGTATGCATTTGGGGCAAGTAAACCGCAGAAGTGATATTGTTCCCTTACCGTTTGCATCATCTCCCTCCCTTTTGGTCTTCTGGATTGTTTTATTAGTGTGTTAAATCCAAGTTGTGTTTTCAGTAGAAATGTCTTTCATGTATTTTTCTAGACTCCAAAATGAACCTGAATGATTTTATCAGCATGAATCCAGAGGTCGGATGGGGAGCTGTCTATGCCCTGTCAGACTTTGCGCATCGGTTTGGCAGTAAAAACTGTTGAACTTCACATCAGGATCTGGAACCGTGGAGAAACTCTAGGACACAAACCATCTATTCCTTCATTCAGGAGAGCAAGCATTATGGTGTGGTGGGCTTGGAATTACTTTTTGAAATTCAGTTGAATTAAAACATGAGTGAACACAAATATAACTTAATTTAAATAAAAAAGTTTTTTTTTTTTTTTGATCTGTTAAGCTGCACCTGATGTGGTGGGTAATTGCTATTCCTGTGAATCACTTGGTGAAACATGATGACATCTGCACAGGTGCTCCTGTGATAGAGGCATGGACTTGGGGCAGCTCTTTGGGTCTGTTCTGCGTTTCTCATCTGCCAGCTTCTGGAAGCTCCCTGAGGGCAGGCCCGTGGTCCATCACCGTGAATCTCTGATGTCTGTAAAAAGTGCCCATAAGATGTTTGCTTGTGACCATGCTGCTACTTGAAGAGGGATCGTATTGTGAGCTGAATCAGCTGTAGTTATTAGTCTTTTTGGACTATTCCATTCTTAAAGATGACAGCCCTCTCAGGCTTGACTGTTATATGGCCTTAAATAAAATTGATTTAAAATTAATTTTGTCTTAGAGATTTTGCATCATTCTCAGTAATTTGAAACACCCAGGAATGTCTCCATTGTTGAGGGGAGCTGTTGCTTTTAAGGTACATTGATCACATCTGCCTTGTTGACAGTGTTTTGGAAATTTGGCTTTAATTGTATTATTCCAAATAAAAGATGTTTGGCATTAGATTGGCCTATAGCACTAACTCTCACTCATGTTTTCATGGCTCTGTTGTAAAAAGCGTTAGACTTTGGTGAGTTTTCTACTTACGAAGCAACTTTCATTTCGTATGAATCCTTTACCTTGTGCTGTGGAGTACAATCATTTACTCAAGGATCTGTCAGTCAAGGGAAACCTTTTTTTTTTTTTAATTGTGATTTGGGTGAAAGTTTACAGAGCAAATTCACTTTCCATATAGCAGTTCATATACACTTTATCTCATGACATTGACCACAATTCACCACAATGCAGCAGCTCCCCTCCCACTTCCCAATAGTTACCTCTTCCCTGTGTCCATCCCTCCATGTACTCCTGCCCCCTGAGCTGTCTCCCTGTGCATAAACAGCCCTTCTTTCTCCCTTGATTGTTCTTTCCAAGGAATGTATCTACCTCAGGTAAATGTTCAACTCATATGCCTGTCTTTTGTTTGGCTGCAAGCCACAGGTGTGGGTTCAATTCCAGACCTGAAGGGCAGTTAGGGGCATAGTCTCAGGGGTTCCACCAGGCTCTATCAGACCAGCAAACCTGGACCCTTTTTTTTTTTTCCCCCAAAATGATTCTGAATTTTATTCCACATTGTTCTCCCTCCCTATCCAGGATCTCCTACATAGATCCCCCTCCAAGTGGTTGACAGTGGTAGCTGGACACCATCTAGTTTTTCTGGTCTTGTAGTCATATAGGCTGTGGATCGCATGGTGTACCAGTCGCTAGGACACATGGTTTTTATGAATCTTTGGTTTTCTTCATTCTTCTTTGCTCTGGATGAGGAGAGATCCATCGTTGCATCTAGATGGCTGCTTGCAAGCTTTTAAGATCCCAGTCACTACTTGCCAAAGTAGGAAGTGGAGCAATGTTTTGTGTAGTATGTTATGCCAGTTGAGCTTGATGTCCAGTCAAGAGAAATCTTACTTGTCCAGTTGGTTTAGCAGACCAGGAAGGTTCTGGAAGAAAGTGAATCAACTTTCAGTAAGAGGAATGCAAATACAACCCTTTAATTTATTTTATAATTTAGAGCTAAATATAAACCCTCTACTTCGGTATCTTCATTGAGTTTCAGATGGCCATTTGAAAAATATGTAGCTAAGACGATAAATTTTGGCAAGCTGTAGCATGGAAATACTTTGTCCTGAGCAGAAAGTTTCAGAGGGACCAAAGGATTGTAATCTGTTTTACAAATTGCATTTCTGGAGTGTTTAGCCAATTTCATGAGCAGGTTTCCTATCTGGTATTCAAAGAGTGTCTAGTACAGAGGTTTGATATCCCCAACCACCCAGTCTTGAAATGGAAAAACCCACTGCTTTGAACCAGTGTAGGGAGGTGGGTTTTATAGTTTTAAATCTGTTAAAGCATCCAGTGGCCACTGTCGACTTGATAGAAACAAACCAGGGCGTTTCTTGTTTCCAGGTTTCGGCAAAGGAAGCCCTCATTGAGATGGTTGGACACAGTAGCTGCAACAGTGGACTTCAACACACACACCGTCATGATGATGCTGCGGGATTAGGTGAACTTCGTCCTGCTCTACATAAGGTCTCCATGAGTTGGAGCCATCTTGATGGCAACTACCACCAGCAGTTGTTTTTTTCTATCCAGCACTCCTAAAGGGTCCTTAGGGAGACACTCTGCACATTTCATGTAGTCCTGGTGGCCCACAGGTATAGGCATATAGCCTGCACTGGACCAGGTGTAGAGCCCCTGGTCCAGAAGGTGGTCTAAGAATGGCTGTTGGGGTCTTCCACTAGATTTGCTGTCCTCATGTTTCAGAGAGAGGTCTTTCGCCATCACGATTGCTGAGCGCAGGGCCTGGGATTGAAGGCTGCTGGTGGGCATCTTGACGGCCTCGAGGAGAATGCTGACTGCAGAACAGGCCAGGCAGAGCTGAGCCGAGGAGAGCAAGAGCCTCAAGGGCATGTCTCAGCCCCTGGATCTCTGTCCCAGCGTTTGAAATTCCTAGTTTTATGACCTAGTGGATTCCTCTTGCTCTTTAGCTTGTGTGAGTTGCATTTGTCAACGTGGTTTCACTGACTAAAATTATCTTGTATATTTGTTTAAAGTCTATTTTTTTGTTTACTCCTTTACTAGACTATAAACTCTCTTTGCCTCATTCTTCACACCAATGCCAGGACCTAGTACTCTGTCTGACATACAGCACCAAACTCAGTGCTGTCGACTCGGATCTGACTCATAGCAACCTTCCTTGGGTTTCCGAGGCGGCATCTCTTTGGAAATAGATTGCCCAATCTTCCTTCCTAGGAGTGGCTGGTGGGTTTGAACCACCAGCCTTCTGATTAGTAGTCAAAGGCCTTAGGCACTATGCCACCAGAGCTCCCAGATACTCAACAAATATTCCTCAAATATTTAATGAAGGAACAATTTTTGTTGCCAAGGGAGTCAAGAACATCAAATGTTCCACCACATTAGATCTCAGAATAATGCTGGAAAAATGCAGCTAAATTCTTGCTGTTTAGATTCTTCTCTTTGAAGAAAGGAAGATTTGGATTATACTGGATTTGGATTATACTAGTTTTGGATTCCCTGGGTGGCACAAATTGTTAAGTGCTCGACTGCTAACTGAAAGGTTGGTGGTTCAAATCCACCCAGAGGCACCTTGGAAAAAGACCTGGAAGTCTGCTTCTAAAAGATCATAGCCATTAAAAAGTTCATGCAGCGCAGTGCTGCTCTGAAACACTTGAGAGTTAGAGTCGACTTCAGGGCAACTCGTTTGTGTTTTGGTTTTGGATGATGCTGTCCTTTTTCAAGCAGGTTTCACTTGCAGTCCCTTGATCTTCAACTCCAAGCCCTATTTCTCCACCCTTTGGCCTGGAAAATAGATTACAAATGATCTTTGCAGATAGCAAAGATTCCCATGAATTGACTGAATAAGCTTCACTTTCCCATTCTTGGTGGGCACACCATTCCAGCCTCATGTTGCAAATGTGCATGGACAGCACATTGTACTGTGTTTGGTTCTGAAAGTAGAGGCTCAGGAAACCTTTGTCCCCTTCCCTAAGCTGACCACACAGCTTGGCACCAGAGAATGAACCATCTCTTACTCCTTTTCGTCCAAAGAAAATGTGGGTTTGGCCTTGAGCTATGGTAGACATCTCTTGGATCCAGACTTTTAATAATATTCATTGTTATTAAGGGAGCAGTTGTAGCAGAATTTTATTAGCATCCACTTAGGCAGTCATTCCTGAGGCTTCCATGGAAATCTGGAGCTTTAGTATCATTTCTGGGAAGAACATTGCATCTTTCTCCTACAGAGTGGCTGGTGGGTTTGAACTGCTGACCTTTCAGTAGCAGCTGATGGTTTAACAACTATGCCACCAGAGTTCCTCCCAACTAAGGTACAGTGGAGTAAAATAACTTGCCCAAAGCCACATAGCTACTGAGTGGCAGAGGTAGGATTTGAGCCCAGGCAACCCAACTCCAGAACCTGGCTGCCCATCCATCTTACCCAGTTCCCGCATCCTGTAATCAAATTCCAGTCACTAGAGGTGTGGTGCCCATTGCAGGGCAGGAGCTAGGCTGTGCTTCACCGTAACCCGGGAGAAAGTCTGTACCCTGTAGTTACTGCAAAGGACCTTTGTCAATGAATTTCAGACTTCAGTAAGTGTAAGATTCATTCCAGGCAGATGCTCACACCCTCCCTTGAGAGATTCTCATTCAGCAAGCAATGCGGTCAGGTTTCAGTGGCAGATCACAGACAGCACTTTTGCTACTTGAAGCAGAAAGGGCTATGATACACAGCCACAGGGTGGTAAACGCATTTGGAGAGAGGGTCCTGAGGTGAAATGGAGATGCACTCACTTCCACCCCCGGGTGCCCAGACCTGTGGATTCTTGCAGCACTGTCACTGGTTCAGAGAGAACCCCCACATCAGGAGGTGGTGTCTCCCGCCTGCGCCTGTACTCAGACCTTCACTGGCCATTCTGCTATCCATAAGATTAGCTTCATCTGGGTTATGGGAAACATGGTAAGACCAGAGAATCCTGGGGCCACCAGCACATGGACTCACTTCCTTTTCTGTAAACGAATTAATGATCAGAAGCGTTGCTGGTGTCAGATACCACGACCTGGTGTCAGATATCGCGACCATGAGTAACACATTCAGTTTGTTGGTACATTGCTGGTCGAAACATGGTGATCAGGAAAAGCAAGTCCATATGCAGAATAACTGTATGTTTTAGGAAGAGGCCCAGGCACTGCCTCGCCATGTTGGACTGTAAAT